CAATGATGATAATGATAAAAAATGTCCTAGTGGAACTCTCTTCGTCAAATAAAACATATTAATACCAAGATCAATTATTTTAGTGTGTAAAATCAATGTTAACTGAAATTTTTTCTTTGCCAACAAAATCTAATTTCTCTTTTTTTTCCTCTCTACTAAGGGACTGAGAATGAAAAAAAATAAAATCTTGTATGAAAATGTAATTTTAGAAAATTAAAGGGACTGAGAAAATGATCATTTAAAAAACTAGAGGATTAAATCAAACTTTTTCATGCCATTTATTTAACCACCACCTATTCTCAGCGTTATTTACATCTAGCTCCTCCGCCGTTTAATTTTGCCCTCGGTTAACAAGTATAAATGAAGGAGAAAAAAATTTGCGGATCAAAGCGAAAAAATAATTAAGTGCTAGAAATCACAACGAATTGTAAAAGAGTGAACAATGCAGATGCGTACCGAGTTTTCAAGGGTAAGCGTATAGATAAAACCTCATAAACTAATAACGAGAAACGAGGCCATAGCCCATATGTGCATTGTAAGAAAAATTAAAAAAGAAATAAAAAAGTTGAGAAGCCCTTTTGTTCACAAGCATATGGGCTATGGGCTAAGGTAGAGAAGCCCACAATTTTATCCAAAATTTAAAACGAAACGATAATGTGAAAAACTGTAGCTGACTGAGAAAAAGGATTTGTAGTTGAAGATTTTAACTATTCTGTAAGGAACTGTTATGTCTCCCTTTTTATAAAAGAAACACAAATTGGCTGCTGATTCCGAAATTGTGACGCCAAGATTGTGGCGGATTGCATGAATGGCTCTGCGTTCAGTGCCGTCTCATCCAAACCAGTGTACATTTCTTCTTGTAAATCTAGCCAGAAACTATTCTCAAAGGGCCGTAGCCTTTGACACAGACCCTGGGTCTTTACTGTAAATTAAGTTCTTGTCTTTCACAAACGTTCAAGACAAAAGACATTGGATGTGGTTTAATCTCCTGTCCAGTACAAAGTTCCCAGCTAACAGAGTGGCATTTATATGACAGCCAAAGAAGAGGACGGCAAACAACGTAATCCAATTCATGTTTATCTTCCGCAGGTTGGATTTCTGGATGTCTTAATGACAATATTATATAATCTAGCTTTTAGACACGAGAAGAAGGATCAACGTCTACGGCCATTGATTTCATAATGCTGCTCAGTGTCTAGTTGCTATGCCCATATTAAATTTATTATGCACGTGAAGCTAGCCAGCTAGAAAAATGTCTCATATGGACGCAATCTGGAAGTTTCATTAAGATGTCCCATGTATTTATGATGGTTGCTTCATGCTACAGTACTAGTTTGATCTTACACCCTACATTGTGGGGTGGAGCACTTTTTTTGAGAAGATTAAATTGGAGAGATGAGACAAATATGATATTTGTTTGGAGAAAAAAAGAGACGGAGTATTTGTTTCGGTTCGAGATCGAGTCTTGAAATTCTTAATTGGTTTAAATTAATAAAATAAAATTTTATTTTATCAAAATTTAATGTAAAATAATTAAATTGAAAATGAAATAATATTACGTGTAATTATTGTTACCAACAATGGATTGTATCTTTTTTCTATCTTTTTTCTACATGGCACTTTTATTTGTGTTTTTTATTTTTTTCATCTCGTATTATCTTACATGGTCATGATTTTAAACATCGTTTCGTTGTTTATTGAACATTAATTTTGCGAACCGCACTACAATTGTTAAATGAAAAGTTGAAGAATCGAACTAAAAATAATATGAATGAGAAAAAAAAATGTTGCAATTTGTTAAACGGAAAGAAAGAGGATCTATTTAAAAAAATAAACTTGAATAAAAAAGAAGAAGAAGAAAAGGGCTTGATTGAAAAGAAAAACACTTAAGATGGTTCTCTGTTCATATTATAATTGATAATATGGTCAATTAGCTTCTTCGAATTTAGGTTTTCCCACCCTATATTTCAAGATTTTGTGCTAAACAATTCTTTGTACTAACTCATAACATCCGTTGTTTGGGCTCCAAAACGAGTAAAGGGAAAGCCAGAGAGGGAGAGAGGAGGAGCATACACTAAATTTAATGTTGCAACCTACTCAAGGCAGCCTGCCTTAACCATCCATAAATTTCATCGCCAAACACGTCTCAACATATTTAAGTTATGGCTATGACCCCAGACAGGAGCAACTGAGAAGGATTGATAATTCTCAACAACCTTTTTCATATCTGCAGGAAACCTCTGCCCGTAGGTTTCAGGTTTGCGTGTCGATGGTATTTATTGTATTTTCAAATGAATTTTTGACAAGTCGAAGTTTTTAATTTTGTCATATATGGCTGGGTGGAAGACTATATCTCCACTTATCTATTACTTTCTGTTATGTCCGGAATTACTTTTTGTTTTGTCTGGAATTACTATAATTTCAAAAATTTCAACAACTTAGAATAAATTTTATCTCATTGGAATATCTGCTCATTCTAGATTTTTTTGATCAAATTTTTTGGATCAAATTCTAGTTGAGATGTTCAAATTTTATTTTATATGTTACATTTTATTAATAATATTTTTTTAAATATATATTTTTCTTATAATTTCATCTTTTAAAATTTGATTTATTGGAGATTAAATTTTACAATTTATTATGATTTTTTTTAATTATCAAGTTTAGCAAGTTAACTCAATTTTTATTTTTAATTTTTTAATTGATTTTTTTTCCAACTATATCATTAAACATCTTGAACATTTAGTTGATTATGAATTATATTTTTTTTTTTGATTTATTTTTTATGACATTATCCTATTCTTATGATCTAAATCACGGTTTTGTGAGTTAACTCAAATAGACTTGGGTCATTCTATTATGTTTTTTTTTTAAGATTGAATTTCTCTCAATTTTATCATTTAACATTGAATTTAAGAAAAATTAAATTTTATAATTTGTTTTAATTTGTTTTATATGAAGCTATTATGATTTTATGACCAGGATCATGAATTTAAAAGGTTAACCTTACTTGACCCCGATCGATTTCATATTTTATCATCTCAATATTAAAATAGAAAATATCATCTTAATTTTTTAAATCAAGTTATATTTTTATCAGTAATTAAAATTATCTTTGGACCTGTCGAGTTGGTTAAGTCAACTCCTATACAATTTAAATTCTTTCTTTACTAGAAAAATGTTAACTGTGCCTGGATTGTAAATTGTTACAATAAAATTACTATTTTGATATTAAGTGGAAAAATGGTGATCTTGGTTGCGGGGGTTGCTTTGGCATTTTCTATTGATAATATTTTTCAATTTGTTTTGCACAATTTAATGTATTTTTATCCTTGAAGTTAATAAAATTTAGAGTGGTTGATAAAAAACTTTGCTTTTTTATAAATTTTTAAACAATAAAAATATTTTCTTATCTCTAGAATAAAAAAAAAATGTTGAGTTGTTCAACAAGGTTTTTTTCTTATCCATTCTTCGTATACAATTAAAATACATATTTGACCTTAGAAAAAACCTAAAATAAGATTTGTATTTTGGGGTAATTTTTTTACTTTCACTCAAGTTTTTTGGGGTAATTATGATGGTCATCGGGACATTTTGCTATTTTCACATTGACTTAATTTTTTAATAAAAAATTCCATTGGCATGTGCTAAATATAACTAACAACATTGACTTAATTTTTTAATAAAAAATGCCATTGGCATGTGCTAAATATAACTAACAAGTGAGTAGTGTTCATACTATTTAAGCGGTGTATTTGACACTACTGGGTAGCCAAACCTGATCTTTCATATTCTCTTTAGATGTACCATTATATACTTTTTCACATAGTGTATAGTAGTTAGATTGTCGTTGGTGATTGTATTTTTTATTTATTTATTTTTCTTCTCATGCCAAATAAAGTGCACAATTGGTTTTTTTTTTTCAATTTTAGTCTTTATTTTTTTATTTACTTATTTCATTCTTACTTTTTTTATAGAAGTTTTTTTTTTAATTTAGTACTTCAATTATAATTTTTCATTTTTTTCTTTATTCTTTTGATTTTAATTTTTTTTTATTTGGCCATTTTGTTAAAGTATTTTAGGCTTTCAATTTCATCCTTTAATCAAAGTATCTGTTGTTTTATTTTTTTAATTTAATTCTTATTCTTTTTATTTATTTTTTCTTTTGTTAAATTTATTTTTTTAATTCAATTTAACCCTTCAATTGAGATTTTTTGTTTGCTCTCTGATTAATCTTTTATTTATTTTCACCCTCATGTTTTATAGATTTTTTTGTGTGATTGGTTGTTTTTTCTTGGTTATATCTTTTAATATTTGATCTGTTAGGAATCGGTTTTGTATTAACTTATCATCTCACATTAGTGTTTTTTTAAATATTAATTTTATGATTAATTTTAATTATTTTCTATAATTTATTTTGATCTCATGACTTAAATTATGGGTTTTGCATGTTTGTTTTTTAAATAAGTTTTTTTTTAAATGTTTTGTTTATGTTTGATTTTTCAAGATATTATTATAATTCATCTATTTTTTTTTGTTTTATACAAATAAAATTTATTTTTTAAAATTAAAATATTTATTTTTAAATAATATTTTTAATATGTTTGGCTTTAGGTTTTTCTTTTATTGATTTAAATAAACAAGTTTATTTGTGTAATATTTTTTTAGGATATAGGTTTTTTTTTATTGATTTAAATAAACAAATTTAGTAAATACAATTAGATAAATATTTCATTTTATATAATTAAATATAATATCTTGATTTACATTTATCTTTTAATTCTTTAGATTTCTCTTTTGGTAATTTTTAATGATTTTTTTATTTATATACATGGTTATTAATTTATTTAATTAGATACTTGTATATATTTTTAATTTATACTTTCAATTTTTTTATATAAAAAAATATTTTAAAACAACCTGCATATCCTGTATTTTTTTTGAAAAATAATTTTTACAAGGAGTGTGGGTTAGCTAGTTAGTATACACGTACATGTATATATATGTATGAATGTATAAAATTTGTTAATTTATAAGAGTATACATCGATTTACAACAATTTGTGTGGCGTTAACATAAGGACCTTTGGATGGGACTGAAGCTCATGGGTATTGTCGGCTTTGGTTATACGCTGGTACGTATATGGGTAGGTAACCGATCTGTTTCCATCACTCACTCAGATTGCAAGAAAATTCTAAAGACTAGCCAATCATAAGAGTATTTTTTATGATGAAATGACGACTTGCTACACAGGTATAAGAAAGCTTCGAGGTAGATGGCATCCAACGTCCATGGAGCTCCATTTAATTTGTGCCGGAAAATTACAACCCATTTACATGCACTGATGATCAAAACGGAAAGGATAAAAAACTTGTAAGTACTCATCATATTCCAGTAAAAAGTTCTTTGATTACCGAAGGGATATACAAATGTACATGATTTTCCAAAACACGGGACAAAAACCTTTCCACCTTAGAAGAAGATAAGTATCTATGGTCTGCAAACAAACAACAAGAACTGATGTGGATCTGCATCAAAATTGGACCTTTCTTCTTTCTCATAAAATTATGGATATACTAAGGTTTTGCAGCATATGAAATCTGGAAAGAGCTTCATTTGATTTCCACTAGAAATTTAATCACCTGTATAAGCATACATTAATGAGTGAAAATCACAGGTGAGAATACAAAGAGACTCATCCACTTAGGTTCATATTTGATGATATATGTACATAATCTTCGAACAAACTGCAAAAACATTATTAGATCGATGAATCAAAAAGAGAAATATCCACATCCACATCTATATGTGGCGGTTTCTATATGCAAGTAAAACATAGAAGAACAATCAATGTTTCCAAAACCAACAGGCTAAAAAATTCTTTGTAGACTGTTACCATATAGAGCAGATAACATGAAAATCATCTCTTCATCACTCCCATCATACTCTATCTGACTCTGCATCCGATCATACTTGGCTAAAATCTCATCCGGCAAAACCTTAGCTCTGCAAAGTGGGCATGTAGCCAAACATTGTTGCAACCATTCGTCTAAGCAATCCTTGTGGAACGTATGCTTGCATTTCAACTTCCTTACACTTTCGCCTTCCGAAAATTCGGACAAGCATACTGCGCATTCTATTGAATCTTGCTGCCTCATCAATTTTTTACTGTAAGAAATTGTTGGATTCTTTTCTTCGATGTGTCTAAGGTACTGAGTGGTGCTAATTATTGGTTTATCGGACTTCAAGGTGCTTCCGATGACCGACCGGATTAAGATTACAATCTCAAGGAGTAGAAGACTGAGGAAAACTATGGTCATGGTATACAGGTGTGAGAAGAATTCAGAGAGAGAGGCCATGGCGGCTGCTGCTGCTGAAGTTAGCGTGTAAAACTATGGAACTTTATAATAGTATTTATGACACGTACGATTCCACAGTGAATGTGGCTAGGTGCACTTCATCAGGCTTTGGTGCACTTAATGTTCACTTCCGAACTTGTTGAGTAACTAAAGTGGTGACATGTGGAATCTTGGCATAGAATTATCCCTGATTAGGTTTAAAAAGAAACATATTGTTCTCCAAGTTAATTAATATTCAACGGATTTCAGCTATGTGGTCAATGAATTTGACTGAAAAACAAATAAAATTAGGAAGAAACCAAGATGAGGAGTAATACATGGTTGATCTCACATGAGATTATCCTCACAAGTCAACCAAAAGTGTTGAAAATTATGTGGTTTCATCGATGAGATCCTCAGACTGGAGTCAGGACGGCTAAATTCATCAGCACAGAAAGGGAGCGGTAGGACTGTTCAAAAAGAAACTCTGGTGTGACATTAGCACTATCTTTCGCATAATTATTATGGCATAGACTATAGGGTCCAATACGTTATTGTCAGTATGATGAAAAATGTCAATTCTGTGGGCCGGCCATGTTGCTTCAATTGATTCTCTTGCAAAAGGAAGTACTCGATTGCCGGGGCACATCACCACCATCGATGCTGCTCTTCCTTCACCTACCACTCGATCGATCTGGACTTGTTATAGTCATCAAGATCAACGCCGCATCTAGATGCACCCTTGTTGATTTTTCTTCTTGTGAAAAGTACTCGATTTCTTGGTTAGATACTACCCCAGCTAGACTGCGATGGGATTCTAGATTAATTTATGACCCAAGAGGAATCAACGCTTGTCGTGTTATGAATTCGTTTTCGAGTATAATATTTTTTTAACAAAAAGTTGAAGATAAAACATATTATCATGTTTAATATATAATAGACATATATAAAATGACAAACAACAAATAAGTCATTAACGGCAATTAAATATATAATAACAAATATTTTATGTATAAAAACAAAGTTAGATGTGATTACAAATGTTTTATATTAGATGTCCTTTTTGCTTTATATTTTTATATTTATTTGATCTTAGAGGTTAATTCTCATTTCTAATAACAATTTTTTTTGTTTTATAAATACATCATGCGAATATAGCTCATTTGTACCAAACATAAAAAAAAAAATTAAAAAAATTCTAATAATATTTTCAAAGTATACAAAATTAAAAAATATAAATAAAAAAATCACAAAATATAAAAAAATAAACCAAATAATTTTATAAAAATATAGAGAAAAGATATCAATGAATATTAAATTAAAAAAAATAATAAAAAAAAGAATATCATAAATTGAGCCTGATAGGTCAATCCCATGTACCTCACCAGCCATAAAAAAATTCTAGCACGCATTGGCCTAGAAGCCTAGTTCCATTTGTAAGGCTAAATTTTTTTCTACTCTAGTTTTTTTTTTAAAAAAACAAGTAACAAGCTGCATGCTAGATTGTTTTTTTTGTCGTCTTCAATTAAAAGAAAATGTCTAAATTTTTTTCTCCTCTTTTTTTTTTTTTTTTTTTTAAACAAGTAACAAGTTACATGCTAGATTGTTTTTTTTTTTTATCATCTTTAATTAAAAGAAAATTAGGTAGATTGTTTTTTTTTATCATCTTCAATTAAAAGAAAATTAGGTTCTGGATCTAAAAAAATATTTTTTTATTTAAAATACATAAAAAAAATATCATAAAAACTTCAATAAATTTATTCTCCATAAGTCATTCCAAAAAACTAAAATAAAACGGACAAAAAAATTAAAAAACTTTGATCTACCTTTTGTTTTTGAATGATTATAAAAAACATTACCTTTATTAAATTTTTCTAAAAAAGATTAACTGATTGATACAAAAATGAGTATTTTTTATGGCTAGAATGTAGTTATTCAAGCACGTTCTTTATCCTCAATATTTATCAATGATTTTCTCCCTCCTCTCTTGATATTTAGGAATTGAAAAGTTAAAAAAATAAATTTAATACTAAAATGTGAGTTTTTTAAAAAAATGGGATTAAATGAAAAAAAAAACTTTTGAGATCAAATTGGAATTTTCCATGCCAAAGTATAAATGAGGTTTGTTTTGTTGTTTTTTTGCAAGTTGGTTTTTTTTTTAATTGTTAATTTTAACTATAATTAAATTTCATTTTCACAAAATCGGTGGTCATCCATGATCAAATATCTTTTGAGACTTCGTATATGAAAAACAACGCAATTTAAAAGAAATGTAAGCACAAAAAATTATGCTAATGTAACTGAAGTTTTTGTTTTGATAGACTATGAAATTCAATATTTTATAAAAATATATTTTAAAAATAACACATCAATATATATAATAGCTGAACTATAAAGAAAACTAAACTGAAAATAATTAACTAGAAAAATAAAATAAAAAATCTGAATCAACATCTTAAAGTGATGTTTTCTCGATCTCATCTGGTGAGAGAAAGTGATTCGCTATAAAATTGGACTTGTAAAACATGCTTATTAACACATCAACATCTTTTAAATATTGTTTAAATTCTTATCTAATTTACAATCGTGGATGGATGTCCCGCATCATACAAAAAGGTTTAGGCAAATAAATAACATTAAAATGCATTTTTCTGTGTCTGGAGACACTTAAGTGAATATTATTACGAATCATGTGCTGGCCAACGTGGGACAATGTTCTCAAGTTCCAAGGATAAGATTGGAATCCTAATTCTGTCTGGTAGTCCATTTATTTTCCCTGCAATTAAGATATGAATCACCCAATCAAAGGGTGCTTTTCTTTGAGTGATGAGCCTGTCCCCTTTTCTTTGGATTTTGAAGAAAAATGCTAGAATTGGTATAAAAAATCGGTACTGTGTTCATGAAAAAAAAAATCTGTTATGGATCACAATGTGTAATCTTTTTACAATGAAAGAGGAATTGTCAAAGTAACTCTAATAGAAGAATTTTTTTTAGATTAACATGAATATCTAGTTAGTTTATGTGTTTTTTTATTAATCTTATAGATTTTAAAACTAATAACTATGTAAATCTCTAATAGCTCTTATGTTTATTTTGGTAAGTAAATCTAAAATCTCATCAGTTAAATTATATATCTTAGTATATGTGTGTGTATAGTTCGCTTATAAAATTTACTTTCATTGCCACCATAGTCCTTATCTTAATAGAAACCAAATAATTTCATAAATAATCCAAGTCTTTCCTTAATATTTGATCAAGTTTATCACCACATTAACTATCTTTTATGTAGATAATTAAGTTCTATCACAACGTCTTAATTTATGTTTTTACAAAAAATTAAGTAGATTTTCGTATTAAATCTTCTTAATTCCTATCTTTGCGATAACTAAGTCATTTCACTATATCACCTTAGTACCACCTTCATAAGTAGCCAAGTCAAATACAATTTACCTTAACTTTCCATTACTGGGAAGAATAAGGAAGAGTAAGTTAAAAATAAAATATTTATATCCTTTTAATTTCTAACTATTCAGATAACTAAGTTATGTATATTATCTTTTATATTTATTAACTCTATTCATCGAATGATCATCATTTTTCACCATGTATCGTGATAAATCTCTTGCATTCATGATGCAATTTTGTTTTATTAATTATCAAGTGTATATAGCAAAGGTGACTCATTCATGTATAAGAAAAGAAAGAAAAACTACAATAACTTGATGTAAGTAAAGAGCTTAACACCTATCTGCAACTCCAAGTATACGGGCTCATTCCGTTGACATTTTAGCCATAAATGTTCCTTTTAAAATTAAAAGAAGATATGTTTATTAGCATATTCATATCCAATATTGCAACATGAAAATAATTTTAGTGTCACATTAATTAAATATTTCAACATTAAGTATTTTAATAATTGTCATCTCAACATTAATTCCATTCACAATAATTAATTCTTCTGTTTGCACTAGTTTTACACATTTTCCCAACTCAATTTTCTTTAAAATGAATTATCTTGTTATTGGTAGTAGAATGCCTTAAATCCTTATCGATTCACACTTTCATACTTCAAATATTTCTTTTTATATCTTTTTTATTATTGATTTATATTTGATTTTACTAAATATAGAAAAGCAAATATAACATATGATCATCCAATTTAATCCTACCATTCCTTAAACTTTCATAATTAACTAACTTGTTTATGTTGTATAATTTATAACTTTTTTCCATTATTTTGCATTGAAATACATTAAATCCTTTACCTATACATATTAACATGCATTAACATTAACCATTTATTCTACTTAATTCATCCCACATATTATTATATCTCTATATACAATTTTATCATCTATACATCAACACACCACACTCACTCACAATTATACAAGTTTTATTTTATCATTTATATATCAACACACCATAGTCACACACAATTATACAAGTTTGATTAAATTTCATGTTTATCATTTTTTACTATTCATATGACTAGTGAAGCTCCATGAAATTTCTCATTGTATCAACTTATTAAACAAAAGAATTTCTTTCCAACCCAAAAAGAAAAATAAAGGACTTATTTCCTAATCAAATGCTTATATGATTATCATACAATTATTACAAGATTACTTATTATTCTATATTACAGGTTGGACCAAAACTATTTTAAGTGTAAAAATATATTGTTTACTCAACTGCTTTCTTAAGATGAATTTTAAATTAAATAAAATGGGAGTTGCTCTAACGTGACATTGTTGACTTGAAAGGTTTTTTTAAAAAAAAATTTAGGTTAACCCAATTAACTTATTAAATTCGTGATACGGATCATGAACACCATCAAGTTTAATTAATTAATTTATTTTTATTATATAATAAAAAATAAGAAAATTCATTCAAAATCAATTAAATATTGAATGATCAAATTAAAAAAAAAACCAATAAAAAACTAAAAATTGAAAGATAAAATTGAAAAAAAATCAAAAGATAAAAAAATTTAAATGGAAAAAAAATAATAATCTAAACATGCAGGCCTAAGGTAGGTCTAGTCATGGTTTAAAGACCTGGCTTGGTGGCTGGCCCAGTCCAAGATCCAGGTTCCGAGTTTTGACCGGGTCACGTGGGTTAATTTTTTTGTTAAATCAAAACGATGTCGTTTTAGTAAAAAATCAAAAGTTAATGGATTGCAACCGGGTTTTTAATCAAATCTTGTGAGTCAAACGAGTAGCCGGGTCATACTAAGTTTTTTTTTTTTTTCCAACCTTGCTCAATTTCAATCCTAGATCGATTAAGTCCTAGATTGACTTATCAGTCCAAATTGAATTTCAAAACTATGAGTTTAGTGCACTTTAAACTTATTTCTTTTTAAAAGGGGTACAGGATGCCTACCACCCCAATTGTTTTTTTTAAATAGGAGGCAAAAACATGTCACATGTTGTTGTCCAACATTGTGGAGCCTAAAAATCACGGGAAGGTGGGTTTTCTTGTTTAAAAATTCATTTTCAAATTCATTTTAAAGTCATTGTTTTATTTAATAACACCTAATACACACTATACAAATCATCCTAAACCATCTAACAATT